ATTGTTTGCATATAGAGAAGTTCCACATATAAGTACAGGAATGTCACCTTTCGAAATTGTCTATGGGGCAAATCCAAAAGGCCCAATTTCTTTGTATAAGAAATTAATAACAGGAACAGCAGAAAACAGTGCAACCGGAAATGACTACCAAGCTGTAATTGACTTAAGAAATAAAATAATAACATCATGTGAGGAAGCAAAGGCGGCACTACAAAATTCAGGAATCTGGCAAAGAAGATACGCAAACAGATCAACACGACTTGTAAAATTAACACCAGGAGATGAAGTCTTAGTATTGTTACCAGCAAAGTCAGACAGACTATTAGTTGAATGGTCAGGTCCGTACAAGGTGACCAGAAAAATATCTGATGTGGATTACGAAATCCTAAAGAACAACAAAAAGAAAATTTTTCATCTCAATATGTTAAAGAAATACATTCGAAGGTCAGTGATAGACGAAAAAGAAGAGATACAAGAATCAAATGCATGTAACGTAGTGGACGAAGAAATGATAGATGCAGTAGAGGACGAAATTCCTACTCTAGAACTGGAGAAAAGTAAAGATTGGAGAGACATCAAAATAAACTCACAATTAAATGAACAAGATAAAAATGCAGTTCAAAATATCATTTCAAAATTCAAGGAGATATTCACTACAAAACCTGGACGAACAAATTTTATAAAGTATGAAATTCAGTTAAAGACAGATATCCCAGTTAGATCACGGAATTACACGATACCTCTGCATTATTTGGACAAGGTCACAAACGAAATTAAACAACTCCAAAAAGACAAAATAATTAGAGATTCAACTTCTCCATATAGCTCACCATTGGTGATAGTAAAAAAAGAAAGATCAGTCACTTAGATTATGTGTAGATTACAGGAAACTCAATAGCATCACAGAATTAGATTCAGAACCAATTCCAAGCACAGAAGATATTCTTCAGAGTTTATATAAATCCAAAATTTTTTCAAAACTTGATTTATGTAAAGGTTACTGGCAAATACCAATGGCAGAGACATCAATACAATATACCAGCTTTCAATAACCATTAGGCTTAAAAGAATGGTTACGAGTTCCGTTTGGAATTTTAAATGCGCCAAAAATTTTCACCAAAATGATAAGAAAACTGTTAAACAACGTTGAAAACGTAGTAGCATACATGGATGATATCTGTATTCATACTGACAATATGCCAAAACATCTCCAAACGTTAGAGAAAGTATTTCAGAGAATTCAAGAAGCAAATCTTACAGTAAATCCAACCAAAACTGAAATTGCGTTCACAACTATCGAATTTTTGGGACATAAAGTGTATCTTCTACTGGCTCGCCTCATCGCACGCTCGCTGCCAACTCACAAAACCGACATCACACGTCGAGCAGAAAAAATGGACGACTGGGAAACAACACGATACTGTTCCAGTACTTTATTCTTCCACTCGCGGCTTACACAGCCGGCACATGAACTTGACAACTGTCCAGGCACACATTATAATGCAAGAATCAATTATTACCTTCAAGCAGAAATCCCAATCGATTTACACTAACATCGTAAACGAAACACAACAGCTGTCCTGACAGATACACTCAGACGACCGGCAGACATGTTACTGGCCAGCTTTCTTCGCCAAGTTGGACTGGAACAAATTCACTCAAAAAACATCTGCTGAATTCACACATCATCCACCGCTGTCCATGCACACTGTTCCTGGGTCCAAAACGAGACTGCCCACAAACCTTTTCCTCGCTATTATATAGCCCTCTGATCTCTGATTCTAGAATATTCTGGATTCATTCTCACGAATTTCCCACTGTTGAAAGTTGTGTCTGGCCCGTGATAATTCACATTTCACACAAATCCTGTGAACAATCATGTTTCACATAAAACCTGACTTTCCGATGTCTCTCATGAAACTCAAGACATAAATCTCGTGTTATCTCAACCAGTCAAAACATTCGTCTTACATCTATTACTGACGTCATCTATCGGGCATAAATTAATGAGGAGAAAATGACTCACTACATTCTCCCCCACCCCAAAAAAATGTTTTACATTTTCAATTAATCAGGTGTGAACATTTCATTGAACATTGTGATTCTAGACCTTTGTAGTGAATCATTTTCGACAAGTTCATTTCCAACCAAGTTCCCTTTACCTTATTAGGTTAACAATTCAAACACTCTAAAATGCCATCTGTTGGGTCTTTGCACGACTGTAAATACCTTAATGGGATCCTCACCCCAGGCACTCCCCTTTTAGTGCGGAAGACCAATAATCTGGCTCCATAGGTATCCCCACCCAGCTCTAAAGTCGGTATACAACCGAACCCCTCTCCTGGCACCCCCCGATCGGTGCGGAAGTCCAAAATCTTGGCTCTAAAACCGAAGTGTGACCCCATGAAGTCCCACCCTCGCTATTCCCATTCATGAAAGTCCTCAACAATGGCTAAATCAGCAATGTATGGTTTTGTTCCCAACTATGTAAGGTACAAGATGTAGTTAATTACCTTGTCTTCAGAAACCACAACATGTCTCATTAACACACATATTCAAATTAAATGCTACACCAATTCAATTTAGTATACTAGTAAATGTAACATTTTCTGGTGAGGTGTTTTTTAATCCTGAATGTTGTCTCCCTTTCATTGTTTACTATATTATACCCATTCCAATCAAAACATACATTTTCCAAGTTGTAAATTCATATAATACATTTATACAATAATACAATGCATACCCTTGCATAAAATGATTTCAGTTAATACAAGTTGTAATAGCAGTTGTAACATGTTCTACAAACGTGACATGATATCTGGTAAATGATTGTCTGTTCCTTTGATGTGTTCAATGTTAAATTTGAATTGTGATATCAACAATGCCCATCTATATACCCTTGGATTGCTATTGGCATCAATTGTTAATAATTTTGTCAACCCCAAGTTATCTGTTAAAATAGTGAATTCTTTTCCCAAAAGAAACTTCTGGAACTTTTTTAGACTAATAACTAGTGCCAACGCTTCTCGTTCAAATGTATTGTATTTTTGTTGAGTTTGGTTAAGTTTCTGTGACATATACATTACTGGGAGTAATGTTTGTGAATGTTTCTGCGCAAGCATGCTAGCTATTGTGTGACCGCTGGCATCTGATTGTAGAAAAAATCTTTTGGAAGGGTCAGGTTGTCTCAAAATAGGATATTTTGAAAAACAGTTTTTTATTTTAACTAGAATTTCCTCATGTGTTTCATTCCAATCTGATTTTTTCAATTGTTGATTCTTTAATAACTCTGATAGTGGTGATGTTAGTGTTGCTAAATTTGGGATGAATTTACCGTAATAGTTTATTAACCCTAGTAGAGATTGTAGCTGCTTTTTAGTTTTAGGTTTTTGGATCTTCAAAATTTTAGAAACAATGTTTTCATCTGTTTGGACTAAACCTTCGCATATAACATGTCCTAAGTAATCAATTTTTGTGTATGCAATTTCAGTTTTTAAAGGATTCACTGTCAATTTTGCGTCATTTATTCTTGATAGGACTTTTTGTAGGGTAGTGCAGTGATCGTGCAATGTTTTGGTGTGTATACAGATGTCATCCATATATGCTGTGACGTGAGGAATTGCATATAACAGTTTCCTAACCATTTTTGTGAAAATTTTCGGAGCGTTTATTAATCCAAATGGTAAACGCAACCATTGTTTTAGTCCAATTGGAGTTTGAAAGCTAGTATATTTTACAGCTTCTGGTGTTAGTGGTATTTGCCAGTAGCCTTTTGAAAGGTCAATTTTTGTAAA